CAAGAGCCACAGTATCCAGAGTAATGTCAGCATACCCCCAAGAAGGATGAACCGCATCCAACGGGATTAACTGTGGACGCAAGGGGAAGCTGTCTGTAAGGGATGTTATGGTCTAAAACCAGGTGTTTCAGTTTCACTGTCTAACCCCTGTTAATAGTCTTTGCATTAGAAAGGTTCACAAAAAGACTTTACTAATAGCAACTACCTTAATTATTGATGCACTGCAGTGTTGGTAGTCAGTTCAAATGTTCTCTAACCYTTATATGTCTAACACATGATGTGAAATTACATTTATATGAGCATTTACATACATATGCACACAGTGTATAAAATAGTTAATTCATGAGTTATTAAGCATGAATAAACAATGAGTGTGTTTGTTTTGGAAGTAAGTAGTCTTTATGGGTAAAGCATTATTAAATGGGTTAATGTATAGCTTATTAAGTATTAATCAAAGTTAATGATGTTTTTAAGGTTAACTAACCATTCATTAATAATTAAGTAAGGCTAAATAAAGTACAGGTACTATAAAGTGTTAACGGAGGAGTTGTGACCCAACCACAAATGATGCTTAAAAAAAACAGATGGATCAAAAACGAAGAATTAATCCAAACCTCATAGTGCCACACAAGTCTAGAGGCTTTTGTTTAGTTTTACAAAATTCAAAGCTGGTGAAAACTGAGCCCAAACCTCACAGAGGGATCAAACAACTTATTTTTAAAAGGGAATTAATTTGCTTCTTTCTCTTACTGCCTTGGAGGTAGTGACATTTATTTGCAGTTAAACAACATTTTTTTAATGTAAAGTAATTCCTATTTCTGACATTTTTAAAATGTGTTTCATTTACAGGGTCACGTTGTGAAGAAAATGTCAATGAGTGTATTTCAAGCCCATGCCAGAACAGTGGAAGATGTATTGATGGGCCTAATCGATATCACTGCTGGTGTCCTGATGGTTTCATTGGACTCCACTGTGAGACCAACTTTGATGAATGCATGTCAGCACCTTGTCTACATGGGAGGTACATGCTTTTTTCCCCCCATCATTTAAGTCAGGAAAACTGCAAATTGTGCGTGAATAGTATGGAATTATATTTAATTAGACCTCTTGTCAAAGCAGCGTAGCACTATAGGTCTCATGTTGTATAGACCTAAAGTGGTGCAATTACAGTACAACTTGTCTTATGGATGCTCAAGTTCCAATAATTAATTTAGTTGGAGAGTTCCAAAGATTATTTTTCTTTTCATACAACTCTAAATTAACTTTGCAGCACAAGAACTAAATACTGCACATCTTCTCTCTCTCTCTCTCTCTCTCTCTCTCTCTCTCTCTCTCTCTCTCTCTCTCTCTCTCTCTCT